CTGCAGTTGGTGTGTGCTCTTCCTGGATGGAATGAATAATGTTAAAAGTACAGTTTAGACACTATAAGAATTTCTACATTAAAAGTTGTCTGTTGGCAAAGTTATTTAGGTATTCAAGGAGGGTGGAGTAGAATCACTTACGTGTCTAATGGGTGAAATAGAATCTGGCCCTACTTTTTTTTTAACGTTGTATCCACCTCCTCCTCCCACCTTACTGGTCTGTCATTGATACCATGACCTTACTCTTCTTGTTTCCTCCTTTTATCTTAATCCAGAGATATTCAACATTTGTTCTGGACCTCAGAACAATTATGTATCTGTCTAATACATGTGTTCTACATGGGGCGACCCTTGAAAACTGTCCAGAAGCTGCCGCTGGTGAATAACAGGAACTTGCCTTCTGTCCAGGTTGGGTCACCAGAAGCTCATAACTCCAGTGCTACAGAGTCTACACAGGCTCCCAATAGCTTTCTAAGTGAAATTCAAGGTACTGATTTTTGACTTATAAGACCCTTAATGATCTGGACCCTATGACTTCGGGGATTTTCTCCCTTATGCTGTGTTGCAGTCTCTAAGATCAGCCAAGTGTAACCTCCTGCAAGTTCCATTAATACGCCAAGTTCACTTGGAGAAACATTTGGAAAGTTGTTCTCAGAAGCTGCTCCTCAGCTCTAGAACTGCCTCTCTTTTGAGGCCTGCCAGGACCTGAGCCTGGACATCTTCCAGAAGCACTGTAAGACTTTTCTATTTGGACAGGCATTTGGCAAACAAAGCTAGGCTGGGATACTGTTTAGGGGGGTAGTGCCTTCTAAGGTTTTTTGCTCCTGTTCATTTTCCTGTTTTATAAGTTATTCTATTCTTTTACTGTAAGATACCCTGAGTTTTTGTTAAGAAAGGGCAGCGTATAGATCAAATGAATAAATAAAAAATATATGTATAGAAGAATATTTCTGTCATTTTCCCCTGCCTCATAAACAAGCTATGCTCACGCTTATTGGTATTCCAGCCATGTTAACTTTTCCATGAAGTCTCACATGAGAGAGACTTTAAACTTAAGACAGTCAACCATCTCAGAACCATTTCAGACAGTCCCACATTTTGGCTTTTGGTTCTTTTTTCTTATTTCTCATACTTTTTAGATTAGTACATAAGCATATAGGATGACTAACAGATTGTTCTGTTAACTTCCCTATTCTGATCTAAACATTTCCCATCTTCTCCTAGGTTCCTACTTCTCTCTACTTCTCCTTATCACTTGGTACCAGCTGTGATCAGACTGAGTTAAAATAAAGGATAAACATTCAAAGGTAAAAAGCTGGGTCACAGCCCTAATGCTCCACAGACCTTGCAAGTTTACATCACTTCTGTTTCCAGTTGTTGTAGGCACTAGTGCAGGGCTGTGGAGGGGCTAATTAGTTTGGCTGAGACACAGAACTGGGTGCAATGTCGTGTGAAGGCAGGTATGTTTCTTCCCACTTAGAAAGTAGCCCATGGCAGATCCTAAGGCACTGTACCCAGGCTAATTATCTCCACCTCTCAGCTGAGCTAATTAACAGACATTCCCATGGCACTAATTTAATGAGCATGGATGTGACTGTATCACTATATCACTCCAGTTCAGGAAGTCTATTGCCCATGGTAATGATGCCAGGTAACGTGATATTGCATCCTCTTATTAGGACACAGGAGATCATGTACTTTGGGGAGTTCTGTTCAGTTTTGGGCTCCTTTAATACACAGCCACATAAGAACAACTTTGGGATTTATGGCTGCTACTCACTTGCCCAGACACTAATGCAGTATTGAAGCCCTAACTAGCTGAGGGTTTTATGAAATCTGGTAATCTGTACTTCCATAATGCTTCTCTGAGCAGGTGTCAGTCTAGGACCAGTGGTTCACATTTGGTTGAAAGTTCCATTTTGATGTCTCACTGAGACGCAATGAAATTTGGTATTGTCTCTGAAAATCTATGATGGTTTCTACCTTATGTTTAAAAGGCCTCCTCAGTATAATCAAATTCCTCATCCCTAGCCCAAATGTTCTTATAAAGTCAGACCTCTTACGTATTATTAAGTTAGACTTGTTTACATTTTTACCCTCATTTCTTCCTAAAACCCTTACTAGAGTTGGAGTAAAAGCCTCTGTTAAAGTCAGTAAAGATTTGGTGATTGATACTCCCTGAGGGTCTGCAACTATGGAATTTCCTAATGGAATTGTGTTTGTAGAGATATCTAATTATAGGGCCTGATGTAAAGCTTGTTCATTATGAGAACAATTCATTTGTTTCATGGATTGGGCTCACAGTGAACACATGGAAATCTTTATTGTCTATTATATTACATTTGATTTTCTTAGTTATTAGATAGTAAGGTCTTTGAGACAGTATCTTATTATGTGCCAGGCACATTTTACTTTTAAGTGGTGTCATATCTACGAGAGCTAGACATTCACATTCTATAAAAAATTCCAAGATTTCAAAAAGAATTGTCGTCCTATCATTTGGATAAAATTGAGACTTAAGTTTTGTTTTTTTTAATTTAAAAAAAAAAGAGAAAAGGAATGCCATCCCCAACAGACCATGATCAGGGCACTAACCTGTGATTTGGAAAATCTGGGTACAAATATTTCCTTTGTTTGATATAATCAGACCTTTTCAGCTGGTCCAATGAATTAGATTTATGCAGTGAAACAGCTTTTACAGAAAAGAGGGCTTCAGAGCAGGGAACTGAACTTGCATCACTCAAATGCTAGGTAAATGTCTTATTACAAGGTTATTATGACAATCTCTTAAGATCTTTCTATTGGAATTTTTCTACTTTATATGCACATTCATTCATTGGTGCAAATCAAGAGATTAGGAATGACTTCCTCTGTATCCAGGTGGCTAGGGCACTTGGGTGAGAAAATCCCAGATCAAGTCTCAGCTCTACCTGACTCAGCTACTGAGTTGGTTTAACCCCACTCATCCCTCTCCCTCTCTCTCTCTGGTTTTGAAATTCCAATAAA